AAGTTCTTTCTCTGATCTCCCTCCTTTTTGCTCCCTCTCGCTTATTACCCACGGCTTCCTTAGTGCAGGGGAGGAGAAAGTGCTTCACTATCTAGCTTCCTCCTCCCATTACAGGATCTGATAGCTACAGCATAGCAGATCCAGTTTCTGCAATAGTGGAGGCAGGGGACAAAAAATAGTTTAGGACAGTGGCTCTCAAACTTTTTTACTGGTGACCTCTTTCACATAGCAAGCTTTTGAGTGCGACCCCCCCCCTTATAAATTAAAAACACCTTTTTATATATTTAACACCATTATAAATGCTGGAGCAAAGCAGGATTTGAGGTGGAGGTTGACAGCTCACGACACCCCATGTAATAACCTCATGACCCCCTGAGGGGTCCTGACCCCCAGTTTGAGAACCCCTGGTTTAGGACATTAAATGGAGATAAAAAGCTGCAGGAGGACATGTTTTAGGGAAGTGGGGAGAAGCCTTTTCATTTTTAAATCCTCTGATATTGGACAGAGTTGAAGGAAGGGGACACACAGTCATCACCAGAGAGGAAGAAAGCTAAAGAGACATGTTCCTCCTTTACCACCACCTCTGTTGCATCTATGTTTTCATGGCGTGTAGCTGCTTCACCACGATGAAGTTAGTTGCTGGAGGACATGCTCAGTTCAAATGTGTCTGTCTGTGAATAGGCTCAGCGAAGCTGGGGCATGCTCAGTACAGACACAACAGTCAAATTTTTTTTAAACAGCAAGCCTAGCATGCTCTGCAGAGTACAATACAAACTGCAAATGGAGATGTTTTACAGTTTTATAATTTTTTCAGTTTTCACAGGGACAGCAAGACGCGAGTCTCTGACCCTAGAACCATCCCCTCTGCCAAATTTTAAGGGCCTGCTGCAAACCACAGAGGTGTTAGAACTGAAAAATATTTTTACAGTGGGAAGTGTTAGGCAACCCACATATTACACACATAAAACTGCATTAAAAGAACATGCAACCTTAATTCTGACATTTCCTAACTTCTGGAAGCTTGACTTTGAAACCTTAATGTTCTTATAAGAAGGTTTTTTTAATGGGTAATTTCCTAAATTTTTAAAAAAGTAAACTGAAAAAACAACAACAAATTTCATCATGTGATATATTGACACCCACATGGCTCATCAGCAGGGTTAAAACCTTTAAATCCACTGCACAGACCTCTAGCACCTGAGCTAAGCAGTAACTGACAGCAATAGTAGGTTGTCGTCCTCTACATGGATTGATGCAGAAGAGGTACAAGACACTTTGCCAGTGGGTTTCACAGCAATTTGCTGACAGCAAATGAATGGCGAGAGCCAGGAATCTTGGGTTCCAGTCTAGCTTCTAGAAAGTGTGCACTCCGGTGGTCACAGAGCCTTCTGTTCCTATGCCTTCCAACCTGTCCTTGTCTAGTCCTCTCTCTTCGTTCCAGTGCCAGTCAGTCCTAGTCCTTTCCTCTGAGCTCCGGTTCTGAGCCCTAGTCCCTTGTAAAATCCATTTCTTTCCTCTTCACCACTCCACACTAGCTCCCAGTCTCCCTCCCTTCCCCCATACATACCTTGGCTGAGCCTTCCCTTTCCCCAATATCTTTGCCCAGCTAGTCTTAGTCCTCCCGCCATACCCTGGCTCCTCATGAGCTTTGTCTCTCCTGCCCCTGGCTCAGTATCTATAACCAGCTAATCCCAGTTTTCCTGCCAAATTTACTCTCCCCAAGTCTGGTTCTTGTCCTGTCTGCTTTAAATTCAGGCAGCTTCCTTCTCCACACTGCCTGGGCCCAGCAGGGAAAGAATTGAGACCGCAGGGGAGAGTCTCTCTGCTCTTAGTTCCAGTGCCACACTGGCCCACAGCAGCCAAGAGTGGCAATTGCAGGGAAGTGCTGTTTGGCCCCTGCAGCCCCAAGCTAGAGCATACTCAGTACTGAAAGAATTTTCAGAGAATTTAGCTTTTAAGTTCCAACAAGTTTATACTGAGCATGTGCAAACAGATTTTTCCCCCAAAAAACTTGTAACTTGGCCATACAGTAACTCCTCACTTAAAGTCGTCCCGGGTAATATTGTTTTATTGTTACGTTGCTGATCAATTAGGGTACATGCTCATTTAAAGTTGTGCAATGCTCCCTCCTAATGTTGTTTGGAAGCCGTCTGCTTTGTCCACTGCTTGCAGGAAGAGCAGCCCGTTGCAGATAGCTAGTGGGGGCTTGGAACCAGGGTTGACCAGCAGCTCCCCTAAGTTCCCTGTGCAGCAGCTGCCCAGCAAGCTATCAATTGCCCCTCCCCGCACTGCCATGTGCTGCTCCTGCCCTCTGCCTTGGAGCTGCTCCCTGAGACTCCTGCTTGCTGTGGGGGGGGGGGTGGGGGGGGTGGAAGGAGGAAGAGGAGGAGCTAATGTCAGGGTATCCCCCTTCCCACTTACCCCATATTCCATAGAGCAGGGGGGACACAGGACAGGGCTCAGAATGGAGGGAGCTT